TCTCTTAAACGTGACCTACTATGGCTTTCTCAGCTATTTTTTCTCTTGAAATCTGAAGCACTTATTCTTAAAACATGTCTTAAAACATGACACTACTTAAACCCAGTGCTTCTTCTGTTTTTTATCACAATGTGTCATCCTTTGTTCTTAATTCCATTTCTTCACTGACTTTCTCAGCAGTTATTTAGTGGATACCTATTATGGGCGCTCAAGTACTGACCATACAGACTCTGGAGAGAGTCTAAGATTCTGTTTTCTCTCTCCTTCACTAAAACCTCAGTGCTTTTCTCCAAGCGGTCTCACCCACTACAGATGCTAATTTAGGTCTTCAGTCATAACCTGCCAATGAATTTCATTCCTGGGGTCACATATGCCTTCTATTCTTCTGGTTCCTACCTGTTCCTCAAAATCTACATGTTTTAAGTGGAAGTTACCATATTCCCCTAACTCTTTCTTTTAAATTCTACATATCTGCTAATATTATCTTCCAGTCACTGAGGCTTTAAGGTTTAAAATGGTCTTTGTTCTATTCCTTAAACCTATCTCTGGTTTATCCTCATTGTTACCATTATTCTCTTCTGCTTCTAGTTCTTTTACTCCTTGGAGTATCATAGATAAGTCACTTGCCCTTGAATAATGCAGGGATTAGGGGTCCTGACACCATGCAAAAACCCATGTATAACTTTAACTGCCCCCAAATGTAACTACTAATTGACTAATTGCCTACTGTAGACCTGGAAACCTTACCCATAACATAAATAGTCAATTAGCACATATTTTGTATCCTATATATATTACATTCTGTTTTCTTATGGTAAGATAAGATAGAATACTGTGTTATTAAAATCAATAAGGGAGGAAAAACTCATTTATAGTAGTGTACTGTACTTATTGAAAAAAAAATCAGCATGTAAGTGGACCTGTGAAGTTCAAATCTGTGTTGTCCAAGGGTCCACTGTATTTTTAAACCACCTTTCCAAAGTCCTGCCTCATCTTCTAAATAAGCTCCAATCCCTAGCCTTGGGATTCACTCTTCTCTAATGACTGCTGAAAACTTATATTCCATCAATTCTTCTGTTGCCTGGGTATATACCCTTTGTTCCCCAGTATCCCCTTCCCTACTAGTACCTCTCACTTTCACACCTGCATGACCATGCAAAGGCCATTGCTGCCATACCATATGCTCTGTTTAACTATGCTACTGGAATCCCATCCCTCCTTCAAGTCTAACCCAAGCATCACTTTTTCAGATCCCCTTATCCTTCATCCCTTCAGATGTAAGAACTTTTCCCCCTTCTGAAACAGAATAAAATATTTTATTTCTTTGTCATTCATAGAATAACATATTGTATCTTCTCATTTCATTTAGGAGGTTTTGAGGTCCTTGAGGACAGAGACTTGTGGCATTCCTATTTTTATTCTACTGGATACTGAGTACACTGTCTTACTCCATAAACATATGTTAAAGGAATAAATTAGTTGAGAAGATCTTCCTCTCTTTCAAAGTGATTACTTATCACTAATGTCCACTGATAAAGCAATAAACTCTGTATCCCGGCTGACTGGTCTTTAAGAATACAAAGTAATTGCTGCACTTTTACCAATTTCTCTTTCTCTGTCATCCAGTTATAATGTTAAGAGAACACCTTCTCTGAGCCAGGCACAGGGAGCAGGGGGACCAAAAGGACACAGTCCTTTCTCTGGAGATGTTTACTCTCTATAAGATGGGCATGCATACAGATGACTGCAGTGTAAAATGAAAGAAATTTAGCAGAGAACTTATATGAAAAAAAAGTATTCCATATAGAAGAATTAGTACATGAAGAATAGGTTTATAAGTGTACTTTTTTGGAATATTCTTTATGAAACCTTAAAAGAAATCAGTAGCTTCCATCCTTATATCACCCTGAAGCTTAGTATAGCAAATGCAATGTTAGGTTTTCTTGATCAAGTCTTAAAATTATAAAAATCTTATAGAAATAGTATATTTATTTCCCATAAATCTATTTAGGCTATCTAAAATCCATTTTGTTTGAATGCATCTAGAATTTTGAATAACAGGTGAATATAATTTACAATATTTTAAATGGTATTTGCTTGGTGAAAGCAGTGTTTTTTTTTTTTTTTATAATTTTTTTTTCAGCATAACAGTATTCCTTGTTTTTGCACCACACCCAGTGCTCCATGCAATCTGTGCCCTCTCTAATACCCACCACCTGGTTCCCCCAACCTCCCATCCCCTGCTGCTTCAAACCCCTCAGATTGTTTTTCAGAGTCCATAGTCTCTCATGGTTCACCTCCCCTTCCAATTTCCCCCAAATCCCTTCTCCTCTCTAACTCCCCTTGTCCTCCATGCTATTTGTTAGGCTCCACAAATAAGTGAAACCATATGATAATTGACTCTCTCTGCTTGACTTATTTCACTCAGCATAATCTCTTCCAGTCTCATCCATGTTGCTACAAAAGTTGGGTATTCATCCTTTCTGATGGAGGCCTAATACTCCATAGTGTATATGGACCACATCTTCCTTATCCATTCGTCCGTTGAAGGGCATCTTTGTTCCTTCCACAGTTTGGCGACCGTGGCCATTGCTGCTATAAACATTGGGGTACAGATGGCCCTTCTTTTCACTACATCTGTCTTAAAGACATGCTGAAAGGGGATTTAATGTTTTCTTTAAAAAAAAAAAGTTTATGGTGAGTTATGCCTATGTTAAGATGTGTGATCTTTGTTATAATCCATACCTAGTAGGTGCTCAGTATATGTTGTCTGAATGATAACAGTTGGAGAGCCCATCTGTCTATGCAGTTCTATGATATAAGGATTTTCAAAATTTAGCTGTGGAAAGAAAAGGCTAGTTAAATATAGAAGAGTGCATGCTACTCCGGGGAATTTTAAATATTCAAGTGGGCAACACAGACATATTTTCTAAAACTTAACTAAATTACACAGTATAATAATAAAAGAAGTCCAGTGGTATTATATAACTTTTAAATATTGATTATATTTCTACATTTTATTTCCTGTTAACGCTCAACCCAGACAGGAAAACGGGTACATTCTTTATGATTAGAAAGGGCTCTTGTGCCATTAGACCATGCTAAATTGATAGTTTTTATAGCCTGACAAGAGACCAAGTCATCATTACCTGGAGGGAAACACTTAAATCATCTGAAGATAGCTATTCTGTTCTGAAGGAAAGTTTGAGTTGACTGCTTGAGATTCTAAGTTTCACTTCCCAAGTGGCAAGGGTTAGTTTCGCTACAGAACTGACAGTTTCTACCCTCTGGGTGGGTAGATTAGACTGGGAAATGTATAGGAGGAGAGCTTGTCAAGGAAATTCAAGGAGCAGAGATGATAAGTTCTAGAGGGAGTTCTAACCTGGTCCTTTGATTGAATCATAAATGCTTATATTTTATGGACTTACACAAGTGTCCAGAAGATAAAGAGGAAGAAGCGAAAGAAAGAGCAAAAAGTAGAAGGTGTGGGAGGAAAATATATCAGAAGAGGCATAAAACTCTATGGCTTGTCCAGCTTATCATTTGTTGAGCTGTGAATAAAATACCAATTTGGAGAGCATTTTTGGTGATGATTGAAATTTTTTGAGACATTTCTTTAATGGTGATTCATGGAACCTGGGTACTGGATTGCATTAAAATTCCAGAGTTATAGGAAACAATTTTTAACAAACAATAGAAATTCATTTTTGTGACTGAACTGGCTGCCAAAGTTCAGTTCCCAGCAGGATGAATCCACGTGTAGTTCTTATGATTCTCTTATAAAAAACAAACAACAAGTAAGAAATGAGTCGTTGGAGGGTGTGAATTTGTAATGAGCATGAAGTGGGGTATGTAGTCATCAAGGGACTTTTTTTCCCACGAAAACCAGGCTATCATTTATATTTATACTTTTGTGGCTTATAACCCATTGCTTTATACTTCAAACAACTTAGTGCAGACTAAAACATCTTCTTGACATCTTCTGTATATTTCACATACAAATTTGCAATTATCCAGGCTTAATTACATTTGGAATGTTTCATATTGATTACATGTCTATCCTTTCTCACTGATATTGTTCCACTGTATTATAATAATTGTGATAGGTGAGGTGAACTCTTAAACTAGTGTTTTCTTCTATTATTCTAAATATTTATATTGATCACATGTTTTTCCTGCACATAGGGGGCTACATCCAGCCTCTAAACAAAGTAGACAGGAAATAAAAACAATTAGCCTGATATAATACTGATCACTAACACTCATATCATGGTTACTGTTTTTCAGACCCAGTTTGCCTTACATCTAGTAATTCATGTAAGCTTCAGAACAATTACATGACATAAAGCCTAGTATTGGTTACACTTTATAAGGTGACACAAGTGAGGAATAGAGAGGTTAAATAATTTTCCCGAGTACGTATGGCAAGATAAGTGTCAGAGCCAGGATTTGAACCAAAGCAGTCTCAATACATGGTATTCTCTACTCTCCACTTTTATAGCTCAACTTTTAGTGGAGCCAGAGGTAGAGTAAGTACCTGTGTTACTCTAAAGCTCTATTTTAATATGATTATTTATTAACAGGGGTATCCCTCTCTTACTAGATTATGAGCTTGTAGGAACAAGAACCATGTTTTATTAACTCTGTCATAGGCGGTGTTCAATAAAAATTTTATTACTCCTGAATTACAGCTTATTATTGCCTTGAGATACTCACTCTGTCCAGGAGACTGTCCAGAAGTCACTGGTTTTATATCCATGGAACTTTTAGATCCACAAAACAAATATCCAATTGTTATTTGCAAGGTGGGATCTTGTATTCATGATTCTCTTGTTTCTTTTCTAAGAATACAATAGCATGATGGAAGCAGATATTTTTAATGGATATAGGATAATTATTGAATCATGTTATTTGATTAATTTTTTTCTCTTTCTTTCTTTCTTTCTTTCTTTCTTTCTTTTCTTTTCTTTTCTTTTCTTTTTAAATACTTTTCCCTACAGGGTGCTGCTCTAATTAGAATGCTGGCTAATTTTATGGGCCATTCAGTATTTCAAAGGGGTTTGCAAGTGAGTAAAACACTTTCTACTTTTTCTTACATTTTCCATGTCAATATATTTATTTTAAAGATATTTCACAGCTTGAGAAATTGCCAATACAAAATTGCTGCCTTTGATGGAAAACTTTAAGATGAATAAGGTAAGCAGTGTCTTTCCGTATGACAAATGAAAGTGGTAGATAGTATTCTCACTGTATCAACTGGTAGAACTTGAATAGTCATGCAATTTAGATCTGTTCAATATGCATTTTTAAATTGAAGTATTTTTTAAATATGTGAGATTCTAAATAATCGGTATAAGATGTTCTAAAAGCCTTCTTCACTTTTCCTTCAGTATAAAAGTTAGTATAAAGTGAAAATAAATTATGTTAAACTTAAAATCTTAATTCCAGTTTTTCAGACTTGTTCTTTAATGTTGCTGTTGTTTTACTGTTGATATACATAAATTGTTATTTGTTCTGAAGATATTTAAATGTTTTTAAAATTGGAAATATGTTTTAAAATAAAAAAAACCCCAGTGTTATCGAACTGCATTTTAAGTATGAAGTATGTAATCTAAGAGTGATTCTTTAAAAAGGAGGGTCCTTAAACACTTTAAAGCATACACAAATATAGAAAAATAGAACTTTTATTCCATTGAATCTGTTGAAGTAAATCATGTTTCTAGCAGCTGTGATTGATGAATTATTTATGATGCATTCTGCTACTTAGAAGTGTCCTTTAAAGTAAATTGATGTTCACCTGAAATACAATTATGCTAAGACAGAGAGAGCAATCAATCTTATCTGTTCTTAGTAAGCTTTTCATTTTGAAATTTAAATAAACTACGTATGGGATTAGGTCATATCTTAGTAGTATAATTCTACCTTTACCTAAAATAAACTAAAAGATAAAATACAAAGCAAGAGTTGAATATGTTATGACAAAGTTACATATACTTAACAGAATGAAGAAAAAATATATAAATTTGTTGGAGACTAATTTCCCTTAGAAAATATTCTTACAGATTTGTTCCAGCAGGGGTTGAAATTTACTTTAATCAGCTCTTTCCATTCGGACACCTTCAGAACAGCTGAATTCTATTGAACCTGTTTGAGGGATGCTGAAGTCTCTATTCTGATCACATAGTTGGGAAAATCTTTTTTCTCAAGGAGTGCCCTCCATGAATATCAACGGTCTGGAGGAATGTCCTTCCTATCCCCAATCCTTTGTTTTTCCCCCATTGAAATTGTAGTGTGACAGTTCCAGAAAATATCTAAGCTTTCTTAAGGGCAACACAAATTAAATTTTATTTCCTGGTAGCAAGTTGATGTGAAATCACTTTCTGTCTAAAACTTTTATTGTTTTTCCTCATCTGGATTTGCTCAGCAGATTGAATAACTCTAGTTATATTATTTGGGAAGGATTACCGCTTTGCAACGTTTTTCTTTATCCTGTCACTTTTTTGGTTGTATACAAAAATATATCAATTTTTAGTACACCCTGTACTACTGACTTAGTCTCTTCAGTTTTATCTGAAAAAGAATATAGCCTTGGACTCCTATTATAGTAAACTTTTATTAATGTGTGCATTTATGCTCTGATACATGAGGTGGTTAATTTTCAACTGAGGGGACTCTATGTTTGTCAACATTGCATTTCATTTGCCTTGTGACATCTCATTGATCAGAAGGATCTGTATCCTTCAGTACTTTGCTTGCAGCTTTATTTATACTCATCACTCAAACTGATTTAGTGTATCATCAGCAGTTTGGATTAGTTTACAGTAGATCCCTATGTCTAGGTGATAAGTTATCATCTCTTGTGCATGAAGATGTATGGGGTACATTTTGGAAATGACCTCCTGAACAGACTGTTTGTGTCATGGTGTTGAGTGGTCACTGAGTTGATTTAATATATTTCCCATCCACAAGGCTCTGGGGAGTCTTGGTTTACATGTTGTTGTAGGAGCTAATCTGGACTGTCAACGCTTACCTTTGCTGGAAAATCTATTAATTGTTTTTACATTAACCGTGGCTGTTTCTATGTTGGCAAATAGAAGTTTATGTTGAAGACAGACCCAGGGTTAGGTTTGTAGTCAATCCCAGATTGGAAATAGTATGTTTTTCATATACATTTTTCTCTCTCCTTTTTTTCCCCTTCTTTCTTCCCCCTGTTTTTCTTGCCTTTCCTTTCCTCCTTTTTTTCTTCATTTTTTACTAGGACCTTTCATGTGCTGCATAGGAACAATCTTATGCTGGAGGTTTCTACTGAAGTTTGTGCTCTCTTACAGTTTTTGTATCCTCATGACTCATCCTAAACCCTTTTCGGAACAAGGCTAATATTTTTTACAAATAGAACCAGAAATATATTAAATATATACAGTTGAACCTTGAACAATGCAGAGGTTGGGGGCACTGACCCCCTCACACCCCCTGACACAGCCAAAAATCTTCATATAAATTTGATGATCAAAAACTTAACTATGAGTAGCTTACTGTTGACTGGAAGACTTACTGATAACATAAACAGTCAATTGACACATTTTCGTATGTTCTGTTATATACTATATTCTTACAGTAAAGTATGCTGGAGAAAAAGGGTTATCAAATATTAAGGACAAGAAAATACCTTAACAATACTATACGGTAAAAAATCCACGTGTAAGTGGCCTGTGTAGTTCAAACCCATGTTGTTCAAGAGTCAACTGTATATATTATATAATAAACACAATATAAAATTTACAATCTAAAATAATTGTTAATATATAATAAATATTGATAGCTATAAAATAATTTATATAAATATAATATTTATATATTAAATGTAATAAAAGTAATATAGAAAGGTAGTAGGTTTCTGGAAAATTTCTGGATCAATTCAAATGTTTGTATTTAACTTACAACGTATCTGAGTATTAATTCAACTACATTCTTCTACCTTTTGTATTATCTTGTATCACTTCACCCATATATTCCACAGTAGGAAGGCACTCTAGAGACTTTTTGAGAAAAGTTCTATTCCTAGTAACCATTTGATTCATTTAATCAGCTATTAGAAAGTCTAATAGTTTCTTTTTTTTTTTTAAGATTTTTATTTATTTATTTGACACAGAGAGAGAGAGAGACACAGTGAGAGAGGGGACACAAGCAGAGGGAGTGGTAGAGGGAGAAGCAGGCTTCCCGTGAAGCAGGGAGCCCAATGGGGGCTCGCTCCCAGGACCCTGTGATCAGGACCTGAGCCAAAAGCAGATATTTAATGACTGAGCCACCCAGGTGCCCCCTAATAAATAGTTTCATACAAAATAATCACAGCTTTCCTTGGTCTGGTCTTCTTGATTTTTTTGTCTAATTCCCTTGTTTCTTAAATTTTATTTGATGCTTAAATGGTTCAGTTTAACATAGTTTTAAAATTAATTGCCACCCATTCAAGTACTAACCAGGCCTCACCCTGGTTAGCTTCCAAGATCAGACGAGATTGTTTACCCCAAAGATACAAATGTAGTGATCTGAAGGGTCATCTGTACCCCAATGTTTATAACAGCAATGTCCACAATAGCCAAACTGTGGAAAGAGCCAATATGTTCATTGACAGATGAATGAATAAAGAAGTTGTGGCGTGTATATATATATATATATAATATTAATATTAATATTATAATATTAATATTCATATATATGAATATTAATGCAGCCATCAAAAATGAAATCTTGCCATTTGCAGTGATGTGGATGGAACTAGAGGGTATTATGCTAAGCAAAATAAGTCTATCAGAGAAAGATAATTATCATATGACCTCACTGATATGCAGAATTTAAGAAACAGGGCGGAGGATCATAGAGGAAGAGAGGAAAAAATGAAACTATGAAACCAGAGAGGGAGACAAACCATAAGAGATTCTCAATCTTAGGAAACAAACTGAGGGTTGCTGGAGGAGTAGGGGGTTGAAGAAATGGGGTGCCTGAGTGATGGGCATTGGGGAAGTTATGTGTTGTGGTGAGTGTTGTGTGTTGTATAGGACAGATGAATCACACCTACATCCCTGAAACAAATAATGCATTATACGCTAAAAATAAATAAATATTTTAATAAATTTTAATAAATTTTAAATTAAATATTTAAATAAAAATAAATAAATAAAACTTCTCTTTGTAGTATATAGATAGTATATATAGTTATATATATAGATAGTATGTATAGTTATAAAATAACTATAGATAGTTATACACAGTTATAAAATAGATAGTATATATAGTTCTAAAAAATTAGTCCTCCTACCATAAACAAGTTGGCTTCTGTTTTGATGTTTAAATTGAAAGTGAAATGTAGAGCAAATCAAGCATGAACCCTTGTTGCATTAGGTATGCCCTCATAAGTAATATATTTTTAAAACTTAGATATGTTTATAGTTTTGCAAACTCTGTATCTACTATTTTATATAACCCATTTCCCAGAATAATAGCTCGTGTATTTTGGGAAGCATGAGGCAATGAAAATGATTCTCATTTTTGTTTCCAATTAATGCTGGGCTTTCTACAAATCATGAAATCTTCTTGATTCCTGACTCCATAGTTATAAAATGCAAGAGTTGGACTAAATACTCTCTAAGATTTTTTTCATCTTTCAGATTCTCCAAATGTAAGATTTATTTAATGGATTTTTTACTAGTTAGACAATTTGGGTTTGATACTTTAATTTGGGAACAACTATTTTGATAGAAAAATTTGTAAACCAGATGCGCAAAAGTGAGTGACTCCCTATTCTTGAATCTTTAGTTATTATCTGAATATTAAGGCTAATGGCCTTCAATGTGCATAGTGCTGTAATTATAGTCAAACCAGACCAGCATTTTTTGTTACAGGGAATTTTTGCTGGCGATGTTTCTTTTTGCCTACTGCTAAGAAACTGCTTCTATTTCCCTTGCTTTTTAGTTATCTTTGGTATTTTGTTACACTTTCATATTTTGCGCTGGATACTTTACATGTTTATGATGAAGCTACAGTTGTCTCAGATGACATTTTCTACGGACTT